AGTGCGATTATAAAACGTTCACAGTGTTGCGTTAACCTAAACACTGTGAATCTAGTTCTTTTCAGAACTGTGTGTGCGAAAGAACACGATAAAAAGTGAAAGCGATAAAGTCTTTCTTTTCTTTTTCTTTTCCAGTCTCTTAGGACCCAGCCCATTGAAAAATGGAGTACGGGAAACTAGAGGAAACCATTCACGAAATAAGAGAAGAGAATAAGCAGATAAGAGAAGAGAATAAGCAGCTATGGGAGATCAACAAGAAGTACGAGGAAGATATCACCGCAATGAAGGAGATAATCATTAGTATGAGAGGCAGGATCGACGAACTCCTAAAGGACAAGGAGGAACAACAGAAGAAGACAAAGGAAAACAACTCGGACCAGAAAAAAGACACACCCGAAAAGGAGAAAGCGAAAAACAAAAAAGAGAAAAAGGAAACACAGAAGGACAAGGACAACGAGGACAAAAAAAAGGTAACCAAAACCGCAAAAGTCCCCAAAAAAACAACAACAACAAAAGAGGACCCACGAACAACCAAGCGTCCAAGAGACGCGGAGGTGAGTTCAGAAACGGACTCAGACGAAGACGGATTCCAAAGAGTGGAATCTAAAAAAAGCCGTAAGGCAAGAAAGAAAACTGAAGATGAAACCCAAGAAGAGACAGAAATGGACGCGGAAACGACGTCCATAGAAATGGAAGCGGAAGCAACGCCCATACCAAAAACGAGCGTGGCAACCAACAGAAGAAAAACCCCGGAGGTCCCAGTATGGCCAACCCCCAGGCCACACACACCTCAGACAAATAATACAGAGGGACAAAACCCAGAAGAAGGGGAACCAACCCCAAAAATGACAAGCGGATCGCCAATGGAAGTAGGAAAGCCGCCGCCAATAGTCATCCACGACTCCAAAAAATGGAGCACGATTTCTAAAAGCCTAGAGGCTAGAAAGATAGGGTATGATAAAGCCAAATTCACTAAGGATGGCATATACCTATATACAAACAATGAAGTCGAGTGGCGAAAAGCCACCAAATACCTGGAAGCCGAGAAAATGGACTTCCACACTTACACAGTGAAGAAAGAAATCCCACTGCACGCGGTCATCCGCGGCATACCGGAAAACGTAGAACCCACAGACGTCGCCAACGATTTGGCAAAACAGGGTTACACGGTGATAGAGTGTCACAGGATGACCTCTAGAAAATATAGGAAGGTACTGCCACTGTTTTTGGTGAAAGTACCAAAAAATGAAGAGAGGATCTTTACGCTGAGAACATGCGTAAATTTATAGTACGGGCAGAACCCCAAAGAATCAACAAGGGACTGGTATCCCAATGCCATCGATGCCAGTTCTTCGGCCACTCGCAGAGATGCTGCCACTCGACGGCACGCTGCGTCAAGTGTGGAGAAAACCACGACACTAGAGAGTGTAAATAAACAATTGACACGCCGGCCAAATGCGCGAACTGTATGGAGGCGCATCCGGCAAGCTACAGAGGCTGCAAGATGTTCCCGAAGCAGAGAACTTCAGCTTGGAACAAGCCCAGAGAGGCGGGAAGACCGACGCCGAAACCGCAACAACAACCAGCTAAAAAAGCCCCAACAAGACAAACAACAACAAGCAACGAAAACGATCTAGTAAAAATACTTAGCAGCCTGACAGCCGAGCAGCAAAAGATCTCGCAAGCGCAGAGCCGCGGGAGGCGTTGCGCTACTAGTAAAAACAGATCTAGAGCAAAACGAAGAAAGAAGACCAGAAATCCAAATCGGAGAAGCAGTAGGAGGGAGCTTGCGACCTGGGCACACAACCCGGGAGGGGGCATGGGAGGTGGTTCAATTTTAAATTCAACCTTTTGTACTTTCTCGTCGGAAAACTAATACTTGGTCTAGTTGACATGTTGAAATTCGTGTTGAATGGAAATAAAGCTCCCAAAAATATGTACAATAGCTCTCTGGATTCAGAATGATGATCAAAAAAACGTGCTTTATTGAACACACAAAAAATTGCAATTTTTTCTAAAAAATTAGGAGGAACAAAGCATTTACTTTGTCGTCAATAACTGAAAAACGGTCAATAATCATGAGATGAAAATGGAAGGTTCTTAAAAGGAAAACATTTATCATGAAAGAGTTCTGACTCCTGGAGCTCTACATCCAATTTTAATTCAATGCCGAAAATTAAGCAGTATACCACATGAAATATTTATTCAAAGTATCGAATATTGATATTTAAATAGCAATAAATCTCTCGACGTGAATTTTCTCACCACCTTAGACAATCCTGCTGGTCTAGCACTACCACCACCCTGTTCCAGATGCTGACAAGACAGTTCTCACAGGAGTAGACATCTTCGAAGCTTCGCATACAGAGGCTGTCAGATTTCATACTTCGAAGTAAAAACACGTTATTATAATTTGTGATTTTTGTAACAATAAGAGTATTTTTTAAATGCAAGTTCAGTGCCATAGATAGTTAATTCGCATGTTAATATCAACAGGAGACTACTAGTTCTGGAGTTTTTAATAAATTCATTCAACGACAAAGCTTTCCACTATCATATAAAAAAAGCGATTTATTCCCAACAGGAGTACCCAGTTACAGAAAATGCTATTAATATTACAGAGTATATATGAAATAAATATTAAAAATGATAGAATATATAAATGTATAAAAGTAAATGATAAAACAAAGTATAAAAAATATTCGTATACGTAGAATGAAAAAGTTACAATTCATGCAATGTAGCAGTACTGACACAAATGTTATTTATAGTATTATTGAAAGTGATTGTGGATACATAATAGCAAGGCGTTCAGAGAGTCGAAATGAATATCACAATGTTCACAGATTTTATTGAAGCTACTGCACATAAAATTCAATGGTGATCGTAACATAACATTTGTGCGTGATGCTTCGCAATAGAATTTCAGATTGTGTCGACCTTCACTTCTTGGTACTGAGAAATTGATCTCGAGTAAAAGAACCGTACTGTCAATATTGTTGTTTAGTAATTTATGCAGGAATTTTATACCAAGGATAACTCTCATATTTTCCAAAGATGTCATATCAAATCGTGTCAACAAAATGTTATGATCGATACCTCTCGTGGGGTATTGACCATCAACTTTTAGACATAAGTATTATAGGAACTTCCTTTGCACGCTCTTAATTGATGTTTTTTGGTAGTTGTAAACTGGATTCCATAACACAAAGCCGTACTCTAAGATTTGGCATACACAAAATATAGCAATTTTGAATTTGGTAATTTTTTTGAATTTTTTGCCATTTCTGTAAATGAATCCAAGCATCCTATTTGCATCAGCAGTCATATTCCTTATATTATGAGTTGTAAATGTAGTATGTTATATCAAGATCTTTTATCCCACGTACGCGGTTGATTGTAGTATTGTTGATTGAATAATCGTACATTAAAATTCGCTTTTTTCTAATAAATGATATTATTTTATATTTGGATACGTTCAGTTGTAGACGATTATGATTACACCAAAGTTTGATTACATCTAATTCATGTTGTACATGTTGGCAGTCAGTAATGTCGTCGATTTTATAAAATAGTTTGAGGTATATTTCATCAGTTCGGACTTCCATTTTCTAATACAATATAAATTGATTTGAAATTCCTGAAAAAATATTAAAAAGATTAACCGAAAATAAAATTTTATTTGAACAAAAAAACTGAAATTACAATAATTTATATTATATTAGACAATGGAAGTCCAAACTGATAAAATACACCACGAAACATTGTCAACCACCTTCAAACAAATAGTTTCAGGTCGTCTGTTAATAGTAGGCTAGGAATATTCAAAGAGGTTGCCAAGTCATTATTAAAAATTGAAAATAAAAGGGGTCCAAGATTAGAACCTTGTGGTACCTCAGATGTAAATATGTACTGAGTCGATTTGATATTCGACGAATTATTTTCTGTTAACTAGATATGATTCAATTAGAGTCAGCAGTTGGTTAGAGAGTCCCAGAAGAACATAATTGTCAATTTGATCGAAGGCTTTTTGAAAGTCTAACTAAACAATCGACTTGTTTTTGTTTGTATAGGTACGTACAGAGATATTGATTAAAACATGCAAGATTTGTCATACATGATCTTTGTTGTACGAAACCATGCTGAGATATGTGTGCATTTTGTACACATATCTCAAAGAGTTTATAAAAGTTACATAGAATTGAAATTGCCATGTAGTTTGTGATATCGATAGAGTAGCCTTTTTTCAATATCGGACAAATTTGTGTTTATTTCTTAATTTTTTTGAAGCAGTAACAATATCGATTTTAGAAAAGGTCGGGATGTTCAATGTATCTGAATCAGAATCATGAAAATTTTCACGACGCATATTCTCGTCCGAAACCAAGTATACACTTCTGAAGTACTTGGCGAATCGATTGACAATATCCCTAGGCTTATCAAATAACTCATCATCAAGTTTCATTATACCCGGTATACGCGAATGACCTTTTTTACTGTGTATGAAAGACCAGAAAGTCGAGCTGTCAGATAAAATATTATTTTCGGTTAAGTTTGTAAATTGTATATAATGTCATAAAAGTTTATAAAAAATTGTTCTGCTCATTATTATTGTCTAATGGTTAAACTTATTCAGATATAAAGAAAATGTTGAAAGGAGTTATTACCGTTTTTGCAACTGTCGTACCGAAGATATCATAAAAAAATAAACTTTATCTATAGTTCATCTATAGAACATGTAATCATATGAAGTTTTTCTCACCTCTCCCTTTGTGAATAACTAGATATATTCGATATTTGCAACAACATCCAATAACGATACTGTAACGGAACGATTTTTGGTCAGTTTCGTTGGAAGTACGTGGTTCGGATATTTGGTATTCAGTTTAATTGGTCAGCGTTCAAGATAACTGTGAGATAAATAAATAAATTCAAATTTGTGTGTGTTCAATTCAGAAGGGGTGATGCACCCTTACCTGTGCTAGACGAGAAACTCAGTCGAAATTGGTACAGAATTTCGTAAGTTTCTAAAAATCACGAGGTCACACCTATCATCGAACAACTAAATAAAGAGATCGAATTCAGAACGATTTGAAGATAAAATCCAGCGTTTTTACGAAAGGAAACAAAAACGCTCGCGCTGGAAACGATTGAACAGGTAGGTATATATCGAAATAATTAGGCCTCGAAGTAGGCAACCATCATTTCATCGTTCCGCTTCTTCTGCTTCCAAAAATCCAACCTAAGAGGATTTGGATAGAAACTCCGTATTAGGGTTCGAATCTTCAATATACCGCTTCATATGGCTAGCATGGAAAGTACCACGTTCCGGGCAGGATAAGATGTAAGTTGCATAGCTAACCCTCCTTTTTACCCTATAAGGGCCTTCAAAGAGTATTAGGAATTTCTCAGTTTCCTGTTTCAACACCGATGAGGTGGGGTTAGCCCTCAGGAGAACTAATTCGCCGGGCTGAAATGGTACATAGGCCCTAATAGGGTTGAGTAAGCAACGCCTAGCCGCTTCAATACCAACAACTTCACCCAATTTTCTGGATTATTGTTTTTTAGAGAGCCCAAACAATTATCTAAATACCACTCTGTTGAAAACATAAGGTGATTTTTCATATTTCTCAAAAACTATTTCTAATTGGTCCCCTTCAAAATATTCCCCTCAGGTATATACACTTGTACCAGCGAATTGTCCCATCCTTGAAGCAGTTCTGATATGCACTTTTTGATATGTCCTCGAGCTCTCACATCGATTCGGCTTTTATCTTTTCAATCGTCGCGAAAGGTCGTCCTTTCATTGATCTCTTCAATATTGGTAACAGGAAAAAGTCGCAGGGGGCCAAATCTGGTGGATACGGTGGCTCAGGCATGATTACGGTGTTGTTTTCGGCCAAAAAATTATGAAGAAGCAATAGAGAGTGGGCAGGGGCAACTTCGAATTGTTTTTCGGAAGCGGTGCATTACTTCAAGATAATACTCTTTATTTACCGTACTACCATGTAGCAATAACTCCTGATACATTACGCCACGGTAATCGAAGGAAATAGTTAGCAAAACCTTGATATTTAATCGAACTTGGCGTGCTTTTTGGTGTTGGCTCTCTTGGGCTCTTCCATTGGGATGATTGGGTTTTGGTTTCGATGTTATAACCACATATCTATGATTTGGTACCAGTTATGACCCCTTCGTGCAAATCTGGATTGCCATTGACGTCATTCAACAATTCCTGAGCAATACTCATGCGACAAATTCTTTAATTAAAATTCAGAATTTCAGAACGAACTTTTCTGCCACACGCTTTATGCCCAAAATTTCCTCAGAAACTTCTCCAATAGTAATTTGAGGATTCTCCTCAACAATATTCCACAATTTTTCAATATTTTCATCAGTTGTTTGCGTCCAGGGCAAGCGTCGTCATTCACATCTTCTAAACCTTCTGTGAAAAGCTTGTACTACTTGTAAACAATTTCATGACTCAGAGTACAGTCACCGTATGTCCCTGTCAACATTTCCAGTGTTTTTGAGCACTCAATTCTATTTTCCATACTGAATTTAATGCAAATTCTTCGATCCATTTTTTTGGTAGCAGAAAATTGCCGAACACGCAAAACATGTTTAACTTTAATACCTGTCACCAAACCGTTAACTTTTTTTCGATTTATGACCTGTTTGTTTTGTAGAAATTTATATTGAATATAGGATAAAGAAAATAGTTTTGTTTAATTTCTTCTAAGTATATTATTTGTTATGATCGGTTTCGGTTTGTTAGACCATTCTCAAGTGACTCTTGGTTACTTGTTACCTGTAACAAATGATAAACTTAGTAGAAATTTCAATTGAATGCAGTATGCAACATACTGTTGGTTGACACTGGAAGTCACATCATTCTGGAAATGACCTCCCTTTTTATGCCTCCAACTGTCAACTGCGAACTGCCTTATAAAGTAACTACTATTCTCGAGTAGAGAGGACTGGATTCTCCGGGAGCATATAGTTGTTGGTTCACAGATGGATCAAAAACATCTTAGGCTCTGGTGCAGGTGTTTTTAGTCGCAGACCCAGGGCAGAGATATCTACCTGCCTAGGAACTTATGCCTCCAACTGTCAACTGCGAACTGCCTTATAAAGTAACTACTATTCTCGAGTAGAGAGGACTGGATTCTCCGGGAGCATATAGTTGTTGGTTCACAGATGGATCAAAAACATCTTCAGGCTCTGGTGCAGGTGTTTTTAGTCGCAGACCCAGGACAGAGAAATCTACCTGCCTAGGAACTTATGCGACTGTATTTCAAGTGGAAATTTACGCTATTGATTTGTGTGCGAAGAGATTGGATAAATACAACCTCACACACAAGTCAATAAAAATATTCTCGTACAGTCAAAAGGCGTTGGAAGCTCTTGGCTCCTACCGAGCAACGTCTAAATTGGTAGCAAATTGCCCGACTCTCTTCGATAGGAATACTCAACAGATTGTCTCTGGTCTGGATTCCTGTCCAAACTAGCCTGGAATGTAATGAAGCTGCTGACTCTCTTGCAAAGGAGGGTGCTGCAAGCGACTTCATCGTACCAGAATCTGTCATTGGCATCGTTTGGCTTTGCCAAACAAAGATTGAACACCTGGATTGCAAAAATATTTATGGACTTCTGGTAGAATCTTCCAGGATTGGCTCACTCCAAAGACTTCATCCACATTCGAAGTCTGATACCAAACAGTTGTTGGACTACACTAGGGATGAACTACGTTGTCTAACAGGCCTTCTTACAGGTCACTATCATTTGAATCATCATATTTAGAGACTCGGACTGTCGGAAGACAGTGTGTGTCGCCTCTGCTTGGAAAATGATGAAACAGCAGAGCATATACTTTGTACCTGCCCCGCTGGGGAACGAATAAGCTTCTTAGAGTTCGGCAGATCCGTATTCTTACCATCTGACCTGAAAGTCCACTCACCATACAAACTAATCGGCTTCGTTAAGAAGATGGGTTTATTTGATCGAGTGTGAATAAGAACGAGCCACAATAAACCCTTGCTGGTTGCGATAGAGGGTCGGATGGACCCACTCACTTCAGACTTAACCTAACCTAACCTAGTAGAAATTGGACAGAAGTATTTTCTTTATCCTATATCCAACAAGCTAAAAATGCTGAATAGCTGAAACTCTGAAATAATGTTCAAGACAAGTGTACCGAAATTAAAAAATAAAAAAATCTATAATAGAATTTACGGAGATCACGAAGTTTGAACATTCACCTTATTTTTAGAATAGCCAAAATAAACATTATTTCAGCATGTCAGCTTGCATGGCTTCATTGAGGAAAAGTCCATCACTACTATAACAACGTATTTTTCATGATTGAAATAATGGAGAAACGTGCATTCGACTGTATGAACCTTGATATTTTGACCAACATTCATCAGGAATGAAATGTGAATATTTTATGGGTGAGATCTTTTTTGTCACCCACAGAACAATATGTAACAATACACCACTTAAATGAAAAATATTGCAGATATCTTCCCCACGAATAAAGGGGTTTCACAAAATTGGTCATTATAACACATGGCCTGGAAAGTCCTGGTCCTGGGACCAGGCTTCATTGGCTTCATTCATCAACGTGATCTCCATCAAAAGCCACACAATCATTCCAGTCCCGCTTTAACATTTCAATACCACTTTTGTAGAACGATTTATCTTTTGCCTCAAAATAGGCCTCAGTTTCAGCAATAAACTCTTCATTCGAGCGAAATTTCTGCTCAGAATGAATATTACTGGAGTTTAATCTAAACACCAAACCATTATTTTTAACACCTTCCTTCAAGAGGAAGATTGAATCTTTAATTTTCTTCTTGAATATGATCACATTATTTTTGACACCGCGACACATGTTTCAATGTTCAAGAGAAGATTAAATCTTTGATCTTCCTCTTGAAGATGATCACTTGTTGATTGAAACACGTGTCGAAGTGTTGAAAATAACGGTTTGGTGTTGGAATTAAACTTCAGTAATATTCATTACTACACCAAAGGTCAAGTCAAAAATAAATTGATGGATGTAGCCGTTACTACGTAGTAGGAGATCATAATGAAAAGAAAAATGAAAATTTCTATGTTTTTCACCACTATATATGGTAAAAAACATAGAAATTTTCATTTCTCTTTTCATCAAGTCAAAAATGTTTATTGGTTTTTAAGAATATTTACAAAATATTGTGAATGTGTTGTGTGGGGCCCTGCTATATGCTTATGCTTCTTCAGGGTAAAAAAAACAGTGCATCACAAGCACTGCTCAGAACCATCAAGACGTTCTTGTTTTAGGTCAACAGTGAGCTCGCGCGGCACTCACTTTGAACAGAGCTTTATCATAGTCAAATGCTCATGTAATATAAAGCCAGCACGTTCTTTCAATATCTTCACAATGCCAGCTAACTCACGCAACTTAACTTTTCGATCATTCAAAACAATGTGGATTTTTTTATGTTTTCTAGTGTTACTGCCTCATTTGGCTTCCACTGCGTTCTGCATCATTGGTATATCTACGACCACGTTTGAAGTCAGCAAACCAACGTTCAGTTGTTGTTTGTGTTGAAGCGGTGTCCTCATAATACTTTTCAAGCCATTGCTTTGCTTGAACGGTATTTTTACCCATCAAGAAGCAGTGTAAAATAAAAACACGAAATTGTTTTTGGTCCACGGTTTTGAAAATAACAAAATTAGCGTCACTCTTAGCGCAATAACTGACACACTTCTGAGTAGAATATCATCAAACTTCAACAGCTTTCTTCTGAAGGTTGTTACTAACTGAAAAAGCTGTGATTGCAATGAGACTAGTGCCATCTATGTGTTAGGTCCCAGACTTTTCAGTCCATGTAGTATATCTTCAAGACAATATACCAACGGATTGTGAGTGATTTTTATTTGCGATCATGAAACAGTTACAGAATCTGAAGAATCTAATGAAATGATAAATATTTTGAATCGAAATTCCAGTCAGTTTCAAATGATCTGAATGGATGACAAGCTAAAACTTTTTTCTTAATCACCCCCCCCCTGGCTTCAACCCGGAGTTTATTTTGCGAAAAGAAATTTCGAAATAAATATTTTTTCATTGAGCGAAGCTAAAAGAGAAGTTAGGACATGTGAATGGTCTGACCCCTCTAGACATGTACGTTAAGGAGGTTGCGTTGATGGCCATGTTACGATAGCGCACGCCTGGTGTTAACCTCGGAGTGGGAATGAGTTAATTGAGGCTGAGCCTATAGCAAGAAGCGCTTACTGCGCAACCTCTGCTGCAGGCAGCAAGTTATGCAATTGAACCCTGATTTATATTTGATAAACCCTACAAAATACAAATAAAACTGAACACAGAGTTAGATGCTACAAATGCAATATGCATATATACAGACGGCTCAAAAACCAAAGAAGGCTCAGGATGTACAGTGTACTCCAGATCACTAAGCCTACGGATTAAATGGGGAATGGGAAAAAATACCAGCGTGGTACAAACAGAACTGGCTGGTATCTCAATCGTCACAAAGGAAATAACCATGAAAGGAATTTATGGCAAGAACATAACAATCTGCACTGATAGCAGACAAGCCCTATTAGCCAACAAGATTCAGCCAAAGCCTCGGTAGATAATAACATTATCCTGAGGTGGATCAAAGGTCACAACAGGAGTAAAGGTAATCGCATTGCCGACTCTTTAGCCAAGGAAGCGGCTGGACTAAGAATTTTAGGACCCAGTGGCACCTAAGGCCTGATGACTTCGACAATTGCGGAACTAGCCAAACGTCACACCCATGCTCAATTCCCAAAGATATGGAATGAAATCAAAGGATGCAGTCTTGCCAGGATCACCCTGGGCAACCCTGGGAAGCTGGCCCGTAGAAATATCTGACGATGACCAGGAACAATCTACGCTTAACTGTAGGATTTCTGACTGGCCACTGTCAACTAAGGGAACACCTCCACAATATGTAGCCCATTTTTGCTACATGTGCAGGAAACTCACCATGGTTCATTTCTATTCGTGTGATGGTAGTGGCGTAAAATCTTGGACAGTTGAAGTTGTCTATGTGGGGGATACTTTAAGGGATAGTGGGGTATGCTGAAACTTCTATGTCCACTGAGGATACACTACAAAAACACACTTTTGTCTATTTTCCACTATATTTCTTTATTGTTGACCGGTTTCGGCTATTATACCATTTTCAAAACTAACTGATTGCATTTAAATCCGAGTAATTTATACCTATATTATTCTATTATCAGGTATATGAAATCATTTATGCTAGAATAATATAGGTATAAATTACTCGGATTTAAATGTAATCAGTTAGTTTTGAAAATGGTATAATAGCCGAAACCTGTCAACATTAAAGAATTATAGTGGAAAATAGACAAAAGTGTGTTTTTGTAGTGTATCCTCAGTGAACATGAATTTCCACAAAATAAACAAGTCGTCAATCGAAGAAGTGAAACTTCTATGTATTGAAATATAACACGAAAACCTTAGTCAGTGATACTTAAATAAATCACGTAGGCACTAAAATAAAATTTCTAGAAGTAATCTTGGATGATAAATTGAACTGAAAGTACCATTCTCAGTCACTTATTTAAACTGAGTAGTTCACTATCTCGAATTTTTAAAGTTATGTCTTAGATAAAGTGTGAGACAGAAATATATTTCATTGATACCCTGAAAAATTTTAATCTCTAGAAAGAAACGTCTAACAAATCAAATAATTGAGAATATTTGTGGGTATTGAAGATACCGAGGCTAACTTTTGTGAAGAAAATTTCTCCAATAATCAGAAACGTTTACTTCTCCAAAAGTTATTCCAAACTACATCAATTATAAACAACAACCAAACACTGAGAGTTTTGAAAACTAAATTAAACAATTATGTTCACCGTTGGGCTACAATTATCATCAACGCTATTTAATTTGTTTCAGGAAAACAACATGGAACATCTACTCTTAATGCTAGTTCTGGGCTCGATCCTGACAGCTCAGCGAAGCTTTGTTGACACTGCTCCACTCTCCCAAGGTAAATAATTCAGCTGCAATTTAAATTTCACCTAATTCGTTTTCAGCTCGCTGAACATTCCCATCTAGAAAGAAAACTATCAGAGAATTCATTCAGCAGCTCTGTTTAGTGAATGCACATTCTACATTGCATAATGCTTCATTTACGCAGTCAATGAATAATATATTGGAGTTCACGATTTAATTATTTTGAACTGAATAACAATCTGAAGGAATTTCAGAGATACTAGAATGAAAATCTGCACAAATTTTCATTTTCTCATAGATACAGACTAGACTATCTGCACGTTTCACATAATTTTCAAACCGATCGTTTGGACAGTTTGTCTTTCAATGCCAAAAGCCTGCATGATAACGTGATGGGATATCCGTAAATATTATAAACGGAATATCTCATGCTTATGACGTGCTTGTTTGGTTACTCCAAAAAGCTGGAGAAACATGCCTTTGCCAGAGTGAATGAGAAGAAGTGGATATAAGTTTGGGACACTCTAAAACGCCAAAAAAACCAATACATGGAAATGAACCGACTGCAAACTAGTCCACGTGGACTGTAGAATTGCCGGTTCGTATTGGATAATTTTTAATAACCGAGTTTTATGATTGGCTGAAGAGTCATAGAATGGAATTTGAAGTCATGTTACGATAGCGAATAGAAATCGAGGAATGTGGGGATGATTATCATGTCGTAACATCAATGTTCAGTTCAGGCGTCCTTGGACAAGTTCTAATAGCAATAACGAGTGGGATTACAACCCAGACTTTTTCCAGTGTAGTGATTCCAATAGCGATGGTGAACAATGCGTAAAAGAGATACCTGTGAATAAGTTTCTGATGCATTTGAATATTGAAACATAGAGAGTATGTTTCGATGTATATGAGAATCTACATCTCAAGTTTGGTTTCGAGGGAAACAAACTATTACAAGCATCATCAGATTTGACCAAAATTCCTTTCTCATTTGTACTTAAAATAGTCAAAAACAAACCTTATGAAAGCAAGACGCGATGTGATACAGGATTAGCAAAACCTTCATATTTCATCTAATAAAATCATTGAAAAAAACAATATACGACTGTTACAAAAGCAATGAGACTGCTACAACTGAAATCATAAGGAAGAAATTGAGTACTTCCGGCAATAACGTGAGCTGCTGTGAGTAAACTATTCAGAATTGGTTAAAAAAACTAGGATTTAGATTCAAAATGATAAACAAATGTCAAACAGTTATGGAAAGCAGAAGAATAGTGGAATTGCGTAACAAATACTCACAACAAATAACTAAATACAGATAAGAACAATGACAAGTTTTCTATTTGAACGAATCTTGATATGACACCCACGACACAGTTACGAAAGGGTGGACTGATGGTTCGAAAATATGTACACCTAACATGCCTGCAAACAAAGGATCGCGCCTAATCATTGTGCATTGCGGAGGAAGTGAAGGATGGGTTCCGAATTCTTTGAAATTATGTTGAAAAAAACTTGAGGACTGCAATGTTGACTATCATAAGAACATGGAAGCTAATATTTTCGAGGAATGGTGTGAAAACACATTGACCCCAAATTTGAATGCAAATGGTATAATAGTTGGTATAGTTCTTGACAACGCTTTCTATCACTCACGACAGCTCTTCAAAGTACCGAATGAAAATTCGCGAAAAGATGAAATATGAAGTATTTAATGGATAAAAATTTCTTGAAGTTTCACAGACAAAAACATTTCAAAAAGTGTATGCCCTTGAGAGTATTGCTGAAAAGTATGGACACACCATACTGAGACTTCCCCCCTATTTTTGTGATTTCAATCCCATTGAGTTGATTTGGGGAAAATTGAAACAAAGCATCAGGCGTAAAAATAATTTTTGAAAATTTGATAAGGAGGTAGGTAGCTAATTGAAGAAGACTAGCATAAAAGGATTAAAAAAGTAATTCTAGTTGAAAAAGACTTCATGGAGATTGGATACTTCCATATAAATGGTGGAAATACATTCATAATTGATTTAAATGACGACGGTGAGAGTGAAACAGAATATGGAAGAGAAATTATCAGAAGCTTTCCAGATATCCCCTTTATTTTGAAAAACAAGTTCGGTTAATTGTCATCAATTCATGTATACATAACAAACTCATCATGGAGTTTAACTTTTCTGATAAATTTTTACTTATACAGACATTTTTAGAGAGAAATGAAAAATGTGCTATACAAATTTTAACATGACTGGTGCAAAGTTTCAATCACTTGGCTATTTTCTTAAACAAACATCAGTACCTTTAATTTTGAAAAAGCAGACATAACTCAAAAACTGCAATGAGTATGAATAAAATTACTAGAGTTGAAATTACATTGAAATTTCAATATTCAGTATTTACAGCTTATTTATAAACATTAACTAGGGCGGTAAGGATGCTTAATCACATTGAATAACATTTTTAAGTAGGTATTGATAAATTAAATGCATGCTATGGTAGTGTCAAGTTGTTTATTCACTTGTCAAATTTTTAATACTTATTGTTGTCTCTTCAGGAAAGAATAGAAATAGTTTTATTATGTGGTGAGAATACACCATACCGGCAAGTAGCTAACATTTTTAATGAACGGCATCCAGTCATGGGGGAAATTAAGTTTTTCTATCGAACTTTTTGTGAATTTTCAAGTACCATGATCTGAAAATCATTAAAATTGTCCTAAAAAACTTCATGCAAATGTGAAAAGGGCAAACATTTTAGTAGGTTCCGATGAGCTACTGCGTAAATTCTAAACATTTTTCACAAAGAAGAACTTATTAATATATCCATTTCGTGAAAAATATTTTGAATTCACTCAGCAACTTATCGGGTGAATTGAAGAACACTTCATGTGGCAGTACATCCTTCTTTATGAGAAATACTTTAAATTCAAGAAATAAATCATCAAGATGAACTAAAAAGTTTGTCCCTTCTACACCTGAATGAAGTTCTTCATTACAATTTTTATTCCCAATGTCTGAATTTTTGTACTGTTAACTTTTTTGAATGAATTCGACTTTCATCTCGAACATCACTATTCCTCTAAAATCATAGTCAAAAGGAGAAATTTCAAACTATCATAAGTTCATATAAATCAATATTTTCCCCAAAAGCATTTCAAGTTATAACATGGTAAATTCATTTCTTCATTCCTAGCCATAAAAATATTCGACCTACATTTCATTCAATTATTCAATACCGTCTCTGGATGTTGTCGTGATTTTCAATCAAGATCCGAGTGTGTCAAGTGAGGCAAACTGAAGAAATTTCCAGCTACTGTCGAGTTCACTGGAACGCGAAGGAATATATCACAGAAATTATACCGGAATAATTCCGGAACAACTTCTACATTTCCTGTCCGTGAACCATAAAATTAAAGTCAGATGAATGTTGAGAGAATATCTGACTCACAAAAAGATATTAAACATAGAAAACAATGAGCGAGGTTTTGTTGGGTTATGATTACGTGGGGAATGTGAAAAACGGTGAGATGAAGCATTTTTTAAAAATATGTCCAAAATATTTACATGTTTCCTTCTTTGAGAAATATGATAAATAATTTTGGAAGCGATAATAAATAGGTAATAAAAAGTTTAGTACTATCCCAACACTAAACCGTTATTTTCAACACCTCGACACGTGTTTCAGTCGCCAAGTGATCATCTTCAAGAGGAAGATTGAACTAAATCTACATACAATGTTGTCCTCATATATACCATTGATAGCTTGCTAGGTACCTGCGTCTCAATTGTCTCAAAATTAATTTGACAATCTTGCCTTATTAGACTTATGTGACAAAATATATCAGAACCTCGGTTACGGTGCTCAACTGATAACTAAAAATATTACAACCAGCTATACAGTAAACTATTGAGTATTGGTCTACCATCGTTATTCATAATACATATTATTAGGAATCACACGTTGAAAGGTAAGAGCTCGTTAGTCCTTAGCTCGCACAATTTTCTCAACTTCTGAGAGTTGTCGTTCGTATGGGGGCGACAGCTGATTAACGGAAAAACAGATTTTAAACAGACAGACAGATGTTGACTTATTTCTAAGCTCTCATAGCCATCTAGATGAGTGTTGTTGTTAACTTTTCTAACTAATCTTAATGAACTAAAGTCTATAGAATGGTTTAGTTGCGAAACATGATGGGCGACTGCTATTCTTCTGGCCTTATATATTATTTTAGGTGTGCTAAGTGTTCTTTATGTCTTATTTCGATAGATCTTTTAGTCTATCCATAATATTTTGCATCGAAGTCCTTACACTCAATTTCGCAAATTCCAGGCTTTTCCGAATTCTCGACTTTGTCCGTTGAATTTCCTATGAGTCTCTGTAGAGAATGACTTGTTTCAAATAGCTTTTTCATACTTAGCTCTTTGAAAATCTTTCCAAAGTTCTTCGTGTTTTTCTAGTATGAAACTTGGTTTTCTTCGTTTCTATATATCGAGATTTCGTTCATTCTTATATCATTATAGGAAAGAAAAAGTGTTGTTTGTTTCATGTCGTTTTGTGTTGGTGCTGTCTCGAAAATTTGGTTGTTGCATTTTTCTTTAATGTATCCTATATTATGTCTGATGGTTTTCAAAATATCAATATTGACACAAAGAAACTACTTTTCGAGCCCTGAAGAAGAATTTAATCAAATTCGAAACGTCGAAAAAAATTTTTAAGAAAAAACTGCTCCTGTTTCCCAACCAACTTTTCTTCAAAAAAAAAACTATTGGATCACTAAACTAGTTAACTGAAAAAGTTTAGGTTAAGAATGAACGAAATTTCGACTTTTAGAAACGACAAAAAACCAAGGCTTCCAAGGCTTGGGTGAGCAGGTTCTTCATATAATAATAATAATTTTTTTTCCACTAGACATAGATAACATGTATTGGAATCGTCAAAGTACACATAAAATTCATGACACAAAATTCACAGTGTAAGCAACACCGTTGTTATTAGAACAACAACAACAAAATTAAAATGAAATAA